CGTCCTAAAGCAAAAACCCCCAAAAAAAAAAAAAAAAAAAGAAAGAAAAAAAAAGAAATTCCAAAGCTGTGAAGAGGTTTCTTATTTTATTCCCTCCTCTGGTGCTTGGATTCTGTGACCTAGGTTTCCACTCGATCACCTTCGGGGGTGAGAACCCCTGTCCGCAGGGCAGTGCTTCTGCTCTGAGCCACTCTGTTAGCGCGTCCTTTGTTCCCGAGAGTGAGCCTCACGCAGTGAACTCGAGATGGGCTCAGGAGAGGACCGGAGGAGCTGCCGGAGAGCAGGCGGCAGGGCTCCCGCCCGGGCGTGGAACCCGCAGGGCTCACTCGAAGTCAGACAGCAAGACCACAGCCCTGGCCTTCGTCACCTCGAGCCGGGGCTCGTGGGACCGGGTGTGTGGGAGGAAGAGGTGCTTGCCAGCTCGCGCTTTGGAGTTCTCAGTGTGCGCACCCGAGACGGTGACTCGTGATTCCAGAAAGAACAGGAAGAAGGGCCAGGCGGGCATCTTAGTGAGGGTCGCCTGTCCACCATTCCAAAACCCAAAACGCTCACAACACAGAAAGGAATTTTTTGCATTTCATCTGGCACAAAACTCTTCCTGGAACTCACACGCAGCTGTTTGTGGTTACTGTGAGTGTGTGCTCGGACGTCTCACTGAAGACAGGTTGAGAGGTTTGACTATGGCTGCTATCCCAGACCCGCTGAGATGTGTAACCTACGGAGTCTGCGTACTACCTTTCTAAGGATCATTAGGGATTCCAGAATACATCCGGATCTAAAGATTAGGTTAAGGACCTGCAGGCCTGTGTTATTATTATTATCCCATTTTCTTTTCTTTTTCTCCTATTGAAAAGAAACTGAAGTGGGCCAGCAGGTGGCATGGTAGTTGGAGTGCTGGGCTCCCACATGGCCAACTGTGGTTCGAGTCCTAGACCTGGCAGCTCGCTTTCTCACTTTCTTTCTCTCTCTGATGAGTGTACATGTCCCATAGCAAATAATAAAAAGTAAGATGGTAAAAATATAGTAAAAAATATATAAAAATATAGCTCCCGGCCAAACAGGGAGCTCAGGACAGAGAGCGAGGCTGCAGGCAGCTGCAAGTGGGTGCCCTGGCCCCGCGGCCGGCTCCCCAGCACTCCCCTTTGCTTCCCTAGGAGAGCAGCCTGATCTTCTATGAGTGCAGCGCCTACTCCGGCCACAACACCTCGGAGTGCCTGCTCCACCTGGCCAGGTAAAGGCACACGCTCACCAAGGAAAGTCCTCTGCGGGGTCCAGGCCCGTGGGGGGCAGAGCACGCCTCTGCTCCCGCCCTCTCTCATCTGCCAGAGCACGCTGGTGTAGGTGACGGTGGCCTGGGCCTGTGATGGTGCATGTGTGTGCGCGTGTGCATGTGCGTGTGTGCATGTGTGTGCGCATGTGTGTGTGTGCACATGTGTACGTGTGTGCATGTGTGTGTGTGTGCGCGCGCGTGTGTGCACGTGTGTGTGTGCATGGGGTGGAGGCGGTTCCCAGGACAAGGGTGGCCTTCTGAAATGCCTGTCATAGCCACTGCCGTCTTCTGGGTCTCTAAGTTGCGTTTCCCAGGGGTCCCCTGTTGAGATGCAGGTGCTCCTGGGAGAGGTCGGACGGTAGGTCCGTCAGCACTGGCTGGTCCCTTGGCAGGAGGAGGCACAAGCCTGGGCGATGAGGGGGAGGCGGGGCTGGGTGGTGTCGGGCTGCCTCAGAAGCACCAAGTCGGGAGTGCTGACAGGACTACTCACACGGGAAGGCTGGGTCCCTAGGCCCTGCCACAGCGAACACAGGAAACCACGCCAGACCCGTCATCATCCGCCTGGGCATTCGTTCCACCCCCCACCCCCCAGCCATCCAGCAACTTCACGGTGCCCGTTCTGTGCCAGCGCCCACGCTGGCCGTCTTCAAATAGTTCAGTTTGAGTAACGAGGAGCCCAGAATACGGGCCAGCCCTGTGGGCTGGTGGGTAAAGGTGCTGCATTCCACGTGGCCAACCGAGGGTTCAAATCTCAGCCCCTGTGCTTGGAAAACACACTGGGCATGTGTGCATGCACGCCCCAGGCCCCTAAGGACGGGGAATGGCGGGGATGAGAGAGCCGCACAACCAGGCCCCATGGGGACACTCCCCACCTCCTCTGTGTGCCCTCTGGCAATGAAAAAAAAATGAACAAAGCAGAGCAATCCGTCTATGCATCGAGAGGATATGGGGCCCGGGAGCACCGTGAGGAGAAGCTCCAGGCTCCCAGGGTTGTCCATAACCCAGGGACTCCGACCGTTCCTTCCCGGCCATCACATGCTTGGGAGACTCAGAGGAGAGGCTTGCGGCAAACGCACTTCAGAACTACACAGCAGAGCTGAGCCGCCCACTTCCAGTGCCGCGTCCACACGGCGCAGTCCTGCGGGTTAACACACGGACTTCGACATCCGCATGTGCCTGTCGCCATGACAGGTCACAGAGACACAGCAATGAGGGCCAGGGAGCCTGGATGACACTGTTGATGAGCTGATAACAAAGGGAGGGTCAGAGTGCAATCGACCTGGGCCACCCTGGAGGATCAGAGGAGGCTTCTTGGAGGAGGTGTCCATAAGGGTTCTCGTGGACTACCTCTGTGGCTTGACAGTTACAGCCATGCACCTGGCCTGCCCCGGGGGTGCTTCAGATGCTGTCTCTGACGAGGCTGGGTTCTGTCTGTCCAACCCGGATGCCCATCCCAGGCCCGGCAGCTTCTCCACTACGGGCACTGCCCCTCTTCCCTCCCAGATTCCTCAAGGAGCAGGAGGACACAGCGAGGGAGGACGTCATTCAGGGGGGCCGCCTGGCCAAGAAGAAGCCCTGCTGCAGCTGACCGGAGGCCCCAGGACGGCTCCCAGCAGCCTGAGGTCAGAGGCCCGGCTCCTGGTGGCACCGCCCAGCAGGGCTGCCCAGACCCGTGTCCCTGGCACTGCCTTGCCTCTTCTAGGGGGAAGGGAAGCAGAGCCCATGGGGGAGCTGCTCTGGGAGGGTCTTGGACTCCGTTTCGTCCCTTCTCTCTCGAGACCCAGATGCCCGTTCCTCTTTTTTTCTTCCTCTCCAGCCTGGGGGAAGAAACAGATGGGCTCTTCCAGAAAAGTCACCACGTGCCTTCTCCATCTCCCTTCTCCTCCCTTGCCCTTAGGAGCACTGCGGTTGCCATGGCAACTGTGCGGCTGAGGTGCTGCCCCCTGCAGGCTGCCACTTGGGCACTGCCAGGCGGTCAGTCTTGCCTGGGCGCCTGTTCTCCAGGGACACCGGGGTGCCTTCAGCCCCTGCTTCATGGACCTGAGATGCCCGAGGAGTGCGAGGACTTCCCGGGGCACCCTCCCCCTACTTCCTGTCCCCAGGGCTTGGCTCCTTCCCCCACCCCAGGCTGCAGGACCCCGTGGTTGTCTGGGCCCCCAGCCTGGCCTCCCCTCCTGCACCTGCAGCCCTGCCTGGAAGGTGGTCTGTGGGTGATAAACGGGTGCCCAGGGTTAGGGGGTTACTTCCTTCCTCGCTTTGACTAAGAGAGGAAGAGAAGAAAACTGGAGGGAAGCCATCTGGTGCTAAGCCGAGCGGCCGTTTCTGGAGAGTATAAATAAAGGTATATATAGCTCCATAAAGACCCTTTCTAAATGTTTCTCAGAATAGCTCTTAGGCGATGATCGGCGGGGTAGATTGACAGGCAGGCAGCAGGGCTCCGCACGAGGCCCTTGGTCGCCCACGTCGTGTGTTTGACGCTGTCCCCGTAGACGGCGTATAGAAACGCAGCGTGGCTGTGATCCGGCGTCGCGCTGGCTGACGAGAGCAGGTTTGCTGGCTTAGCACCCCTGGGGCCACGGCAGCAAGGGCGCTGGGATGAGAGAGCGACTGGGCCCCGGGGCTCCTCTGTTGGGCCTGGCGCACCCCCATCCAGCTGCCCATCACTGGCTGGCCGGGGCTCTCTTGCCCTGAGTGGATGGGCACATCACAGGATCACCGCAGTGACAATTCTAGAGTTGTTCTAGACCCAGGCTCCTGCAGGGAAGTGGGCGGGCCATGCCCAGGGAGAGGCACTGTCCCCAAGCCTCTAAGAACCCAGCTGAAGGCACCCCTGCACGGCCACATGGACAGGGGAGAACCCACTGGCTAGAGG